GTTACGAATAGTGGCGTAAGCGCTGGCAATCAATTTGGGTATACCACCATGATGATACCGTCGCGAGGCTTCACTGGTGAGTCAATCACATTTGGCATTGAGTGACGAAACCCAGCCTCCTGTTCGCCGCTCAGACGAATTCTACAAAGCTTTGGACCTTGTTTACCCTTACGAGACAAGCCCTCCTAATCCGTACTTTCATGCATTCCCGGTGAGTAAAAATTCGCCGGGAGATGACGCTGCGTTAGTCTCTGGGCTACGAAACAATGCCGCAGATCGGGATTCATGGTCGGTGGAGGGATATCAACATGAACTGGATCGTCTCGAGGGGATCAAGCGTGAGGCTAACGAAGAGACCGAGCGTCTAAAACGACTTATTGGTGCTGCAGATAAACTTATATCCGAAGAGAAAGATCGACTCGAGGATAAGCGCGCAGCCAGCACGCTGGATATTCGAACGCATCAACCGCGGAAAATCCGCAACAAGTTGAAGTGTATGGGCTGGCGCCAGACCGGACAATGCAATCCTTTCGGCAAACGCGAGCCGAACTCGGATCATGCCTGTAACCAAATTGCGCAGGGTGGTGTTTCCGGCTACTGTGAGGTATTGGACGAGGATACTGGTGAACTTTTCCGTGTCATGCAGCTCAATTGCTCTAGCATTCGGGACCACGTGGTGTTTTCATGTGCAGAGGCTGCTGATTTCGCGAACTTTGGGTTAATGGCTCAGGGCGTATATGAAAATGCTCTAGCGCAGAACACGTCGGACCCATCGAAACTACTGGGTAACAATGGCAATGGCAACGGCATTGTCATGGTTGTGTATCCGAAGTTACTTTCGAGTGTCTTCGCATCGATTAGCGTTCTGCGGTCGTACAACTGCACGCTACCCATCGAGCTGTGGATATCTCAACCTGAAGTGGTGCGCACGCCAAGCATGAGGCCAACATTGGAAATGTTGCAACAGCGGTTTTCTAATGTTACTGTGGAAACCATTATTGATCCGACGATCGCCGGCTTTTCTACCAAGATCCACGCTGTTCAACACAGCAAGTTTGAGAACGTGTTGTTCCTCGATGCTGACAACGTTCCTGTACGAGATCCAACGTTCCTGTTCGAAACTCGGGAATTCCGTGAGCACGGTGCTATTTTCTGGCCGGATTTCTGGCATCCAGAGAAGACCATTTTCAACATTCAGCGCGAGTCGCTATTGTGGGAACTCGTCGATCTCCCTTTCGTGGACATGTTCGAGCAGGAGAGTGGCCAGATTCTCATTAATCGGAGACGCGCTGCTATAGCGTTGGAGGTGCTGATGTTCTTCGCGTACCATCGCCCCAGTCACTTTGAGCGACT